TATTTATCATACCTGCCAAATTATTTTGTCATACTATTTAAAATAAATTCCTTAAAATATTCTATATTTAATAAGATATGAGGTCATTAACTATGGCGCATTGGGTTTACGCTAAAAGAGCATATTAATATGCGTAKATATAACTAATGGCATATTTTCAAGAACAAGTCTATAAAATGAAAAGTCTTATATCAGACCCCAAGGCATACGATCRTTAAAAAATAGTTTGGAGAACTGAAAACATTACAGCAGATCTAATCAATATAATGTATAAGATATCTGTCCACATAATAATTTATGACGTGTCCGTTATTAACGTTATTTAAATTTTCAGCAATATACAATATTTATTGTTCATGCTTTGCTAATCCCTATGAACAAAACTTTTTGTTAACATAATGTGAAATACTGTTGCTTTTTACATTTTAGGAAAAAAAAACTATTTTAGATTTTAAAGATGATGTTGTCAATCAAAAGTTTCAATACAACAATATAATAGCTTAGATTTTAAAAAGTACCTACCCACTTAAAAGTATACTCAAACCAGTCACATCTTCGATGACACATCATGTAAAATTCAATGTAGTTTACTAGTTTGTAACAATAATACTATAATATCTTGTTTGTGATTGTTTATTATTGCTATATTACTGATATTATTTTCGTACACCTACCTTACTTAATACTTATAGTACAAAACATTTAGTAATATTTTTAAAAACATGAACGTTTCATATTATGAATGGAAATCGATTTCTCTTTAATCAAGGTGAAATAATTATATTAAATCAACTAAGTGTAGACAACATACAATACATACTATTATTAAATGAACTGTTTATATTTTTATAGGCATAATACGCGAAAATAAACGCACGAATATGCTCATACATAATAATAATAATAATCATAATGAAAAAAAAAAAATCGAGTAAAAGTTAAATCATCGTGTTCGTTAATATGGGTAGCTGGGTTGTTCATAATCCGCGATCGTCTTTCTTATCCAATCTGAGTAACAAGACACTGCGGTGTAGACTCCAGGAAAGGTCGGATGGGCACAGCCGAGTCCCCAGCTGACGATTCCGCACAGGTAGAAACGGTTGTCGTCGGCCAGACAAATCAGTGGGCCACCGGAATCACCCTGCATGTTCGGAAAAGGAAAAAAATCATCAATATTTTTGAAACAATCAAAAACATTATAGGTCACCATCAACTCCATCATAACGATTAGTTAAAAAATTATTTTCCATAGTGTTCCCATTATTATAATAGGTATAGATATATAATTGAAATAATAATACAATACATATCATAATTATTGTTATGTGGTGATCGTGTGATGGGAGAAAGAGAGGGGCTCACGTTAGATTAAAAAACGCGGTATTGGCTAAAAAGTACCTACACGAATCTTATAATTTATCAGCGAGGTTTATATATAATTTATATTATATATATATATTTATAATATTTGTCCCAACAGCTAATGGAACGACGTAATATAATCATTATGTTACGCATTGTTTAATACATTGTTATTAATTATTATTGTAATATGCATATTATTGTGCATTGTGCGTACTTGACAAGAATCCGCTTCGTAATCTGACGTTCCAGCGCCACATACCACACACTGACTGACGTAATGGCCGTAACCTGCGCTGTTATACAAGTTCAGACAATCGTTCAACGCAATGAGGGGCAATCGTACTTTTTGCAGGACGTGTGCGAATTCACCGTTCTCGGACAACCGTCCCCATCCTGTGACCACCGCCAAAGCTAGACGTAAAATACGCACAAATGGCCRGGTAAAATTATTATTATTATAATAATTTATTTATGAACAAAGTATTTCTTTTTTTACACATCATTATAATTTTGGGCTTCTGCCTGTATTTATAATAGAATAAAATTACCAAACGCGCATGTATGATATCGGTATAAGGTTAGATCATATACGATCAGTGGCGTACTCAGTTTTTTTTTTTAAAGAGGGGTAGGAGGATATGCATTTTTCTTATCCTCAGATCACTACGTTATATATAGTGGTAGGTAATATATTATTCTTTCATTGCTTTATCATATGTTTTATATTTCAAAAATAAGCAGAAAGAGGGATATTACACCCCCATCACCCCAGAGATACGGTAAATTATTGCAATAATGGGAATTAGGGAATATACAGTGGCTATATAGAGTAGTCCAAAATTTGCGATTTAAATTCGCTGCTTGGAAACACATGATAGACCGTTAAAGCCGTATAGTGTTCACCGTAGCTTTGTAACGTGATATTTGTACGACTCTGTAGACTGTAGGTATATGTACACGTGTACGGCAGATGAAGGATACAACAGAATAATGTAATTATGGTGACATAAATTAGATATCGCCGGCCAATATTTTCACTTAATCACCTGCAGATGTAAATTTCCAAACAAAACTATTGGAGTAGGTATACATTATTTATTATTAGTACACCGAGGCCATCCCTACTGGCTACCATAAATTGAGACTTACAATTGTCATAATTGTGCATATTGGTAAAATATTGAATACTATTAATTATATTTTAATAGCGTTGACATTTTCAACGACCACCAGCGATTGACCACCACCTATCAACGCAAACTTTCAATGGAAGGTATACCAGGTTTACCTACCGAAATTCCGTCAACAGGTTAAAMAAAGGACAACAATAAGTTTTTCGTTTTAATTATTTGAACAAGTAATAAGCAATGTGTATTTTTATTTTGTGTTTTAAAATTAAATAGTATAATATAATAATTAATAGCTGATAGGACATGTTAACTTAGTCGTAATCAGGGTTTAAATTTTTGAGAGTGGGACAGTCTGTGGTAAAAATGAAAATCTTTAAGGTAAAAAAAAAAACACTATTGACCATTCAGTGAAATATCTGAGGGAATAGTTTCTCCCTCCCCAGATTATGCATATGTWCGTTAATTTATCGTAATAATATTATAGTAACTACCTATATTCTTCAACAAAAAGAAACTGTTTTGGAATAGTTTTAACCATTAACAACTATAGTTAAATATAATTACTTATTAAATATAATGTGTAAATATTGAAATGTCGTACAATGGTATTATACAATACCTCTAGATATAAGTAAACCAGTTATACAATGTCTATTTACCATTTTCGAATCGTGTCTCAGGTCTTGGAATACAAATCGGAGACACGTGACTACCGTCGAACACCAACGCCGGAAACACTTTGAGCAACGCGATGTCTCTGGACATCCATTCATGGTCGAACCCGTTTAAATGTATGTCCGCGACATTCACTCTCTGGTCGTGATCTTTTGGGGATAAAGGCGCTTATAAAATAACGTGTCCAAATGAAAGACACATGGAAAAACCAACACTTACTCTCGACCGTGTAAAGGTCGTTTTTTCCGGCCACCACGGACAGTGCGTTTTTTGACTGTCCGTACACGCAATGCGCTGCCGTCAACACCCAGTTTTCGTTGATTATGGATCCACCACACACATGTCTGGCCGTCATACCGGTGACGAGTTGCAACGATATCTGCCATGGGAACTCGCCTGTACGTAATATAAACAGGGTAATTATTTAAGCGTAATTTGCACCGTTTAAAGACCTAAAAACCTTACGCATTTATTAAAATTCTGATTTCGCCTATACCTATCGGCTATCACGAAGACCACATAATGCAATAACATCTTGAATACTTTTTTTACGGGCTTCATAACAATCGACATATGGCGCGGTATAGTTTTTTTCTTAAAATATCGTCCTTTTTTGCGAATTGTTTGTCAGGGAATTTTTTTTGATGTTGACATATTCAAATCGAAATCTGAACGAGGAGTTATACAGTGTGTTAATGGAAATAAAAGGAGGACATGTTGTAAGTACACTGGTTTAAGTAGGTGCAATTAAATTCAAATTTAGTGTATAACTTATAATAATTATAATAAATTATAAAACCGCAATATAATAATAAAATGCGTATTATTATATCGTCGTGCAATCTATATTACCAGGTATCGAATCCGTACCGCCGACTATTCGACCATTACCATCAGACCTCGACCATTCACTCGTACCCTGCACACCACAAGGCACAGAGTAATTCAGAAAGCTAGAAATAAAAAATCCAACATAATATATTAACAACTTTATTTATGTATTAGATGTCTAAATAATAATTTTAATACATCATATGGTAACATGATATAGTATTCGTAATCTATAGATTTAGGCCGTACTCGCGTAATTCGTCGACGTTGTTTGTAACTTCTATAGTTTGATCGATATAGTTTTCATTATAGTTCGTGAATTCTTCTGTGATTTGTTGGAAACTAATGAAAAAATCACTGAAATAATCATTCCAATCGTACAAATCATTAACGACGAAGACATTTTCTCCAGATTTTATTTTTGAATTTGATTCCAACATACGATCTCCTAAATAAGTTATCAAATATTCACTAAATAATATAAATTACTGTAAGTGGATTTAATATACCAGCAATGGCAGAAATGCATTTTGTTGCAGCCGTGTGCTGCAGTATTGCTAAACCAAACAGAGCGACMACGATCATGATCGACTACTGAACTACAGACATATTTTTATTATTTTTATTTAAATAACACAGTTAAATGTTTTGCCTTAAGGCCTCGTCAGTCAGCTGGCAGATATAATATTTTCTAAATATTGCTTTGGTTATCGTTACGTCTTCTGTATAAGTAATAAGTTACATAACGCTAATGGTGAAAAATAACTTTGGAACATAATATAAATAAAATAAAAATATTTTAAACAATTTATTGGGCATTCAACAAATTACAAATATAATAATATATATATTTATATAAATATTAAAATAAATCACATAAATCACATCAAGCCATTTTTAAAAATCAATTCACAATTAAAATAAATAAACATAAGTACATATAAATTAATAATACTGTATTTTTACACTAATTTTCGGTATAAATTATTTACAACATAATATAATATAACGTATAGTATGTGCTATCGGTATCGCACTTCAATATCCAAATCTTTTGGTTGTTCCACAAGCAATTTTTTGCTCGTTATTGCTTCGTCTGTTAACACAGTTATAAAAAACAATTTTACACATAAATATAGCTGTATAATAGACATAATAATGATAATAATAAATAATAATTACTATTGGACGACARCGTATTAAAAGTGTCAAGTTTTTTTCTGCGTTTCACCGGGCTGATCGCACATTGAGCAGAACCTTTACAGCGCACCATTTCTGAAAGTGAATTTCGAAGCCATTCCTTTTCATTAGGTTCTAAGGTGTAAGCTCGATTCCGCTGTTGGAATGGATCGATCTTCATATTGTAAAACGTCACTAGCCCGGTGACAAATTCGCAGTATAGAAAATTGTGTGTGGCGTTAATCGTACGAAGACACGAATATGTGTTGTTATTCGCGTTCATACAGAAACAGAATGGCCCCTCTGTAGAAAGATAATAGAAAAAAAGTTGAAGTGCTGGTAGCGATTTTTTGTAAAATAATTTAWTATTATTTATCATCTAGTCTAACGACTGCCGTATGAACCTTCCCGAATAAAGAATATACAATTCATCAAGATAATTATTATTTTGATTAATAATTATTTATTTTATAAGTATCATATTAGACTGACAAATATRTAGGCACTTAGAAAGTTCCAAAAATGTTTTACTTAAAAAATGTTCTTTGAAAAGTTGATAGCAGGTTTACAATATTATATTTACTGCAAATAGATTTAATAGTACATCAGTTAGGTGTTTGTATTATATAYACATCATATTACAGTTGTCATATATAGGTAATAAAAATGTTTAAAATCATTAAGTACTTATGACTTATGTGTGCTTACAATAATTATACAAAAAGTATAGTAGTTTTAAGGCAATAAACAATGAATTATGAACTGTACAMGCACGATACATACARCACACTACAAAAATACAGAGACCTCATAAGTTTTTAAGTATATAATTTTTGACTATAAATGCAAACGTACTAAACCTGTTTGCTTTAACGTAATTATTATTGTGAAATCTAATATTWAAAAAATAAAATTTTTATTTATCAGCATCAACAGCTAATAGATTTTTTTTATTAAATTTACATAAAAACTAGATGAGACATTATTTTGTGTTTATTTATAACTATCACTAAACATGGTAGCTAATATACATTATCGTTAATAGCAAATAAATTTCTGTAAACAACTCCTTTACTAATTAGTCTAAAGAATCACCTGCTTATTACTTACCAACCATCATTAATTTATATCATAATATTTATCAGATATAAAATATATTTTTGATTTTAAGTAAGTATCTAATATTATTTTATGGCATTTTTATGATGGTAAGTTAATTAAAATATTAATAAAAAAAAAATGTATCGCTTAGATGATCTCATATGATTGTCATCATGATATACCAACAGTATTTCGAATAAATAGTAAAAACCTGTTTCTATCAAGTAAGTATCATATTATGCTAATTAAAAACATTACCTGTCCAAAATGGTGCGGTTCGCCAATGATCATTATCATGATTAAAACAGTTCATTTTTTCTAACATACACTCCTTGTTTAGCTTAGAGTTTTTCTTACGGAATTTTCGTCCTTTTTTCTTTTGTCTGTCTGCTTTCAGTAACTTTTTTACTTCTTTATTTAGTGCAGGATCATTATCACTAAACCTTTTAAACAAAAATCAAAATAAATTGTTATTAATAAAAATYCATACGAGGAAAGTAAATTATTAAATATGCTTACATGAAAGGCACACAATAACAGGTGTCTGCAGAAATATTTTTAGTTTGTGATTTATGCCCGTGATGTCTAAAAGTATGGGGTTCAACTCCATCTACAAGTAAGCTGCCAGGACTCATGCTATAATTGTTTACTGGTACCATCCTGTATAATATATAGTAATACATTTAAAATAGTCAAACAAAAAGTCTTAATAAAATAATTAATATTTTAAAGACCTAAGATTCCATTGTGTTTGAGAGTAATCTGTTGGTAAGTTATCAGAATCGTCTTCATTTAGGTCATCTTCTGTGTCGTCGTCTTCTTCATCTATGTCATCAATATTTGGTCGCTTTGTTTCAAGGTGTTTTTGTATTTCTCTAAGTTTCTCTAATTTTTTTTGCAAACTTGAAATTTGTTTTTGTACACGATTCTGACTGAATTTCCAAACTTTTGGATTGTTATATACAATATTTGTACACTTAACATCACCATTAGGAGTGACTGTACAGCTAGCTAGAGCAGAGTCATTAASCACTGCCATTGACCGTAAGTCATCAATTTGTTTGTTCAATACATTCTTAATCGAAGACATATTATTACTGAGAGGAGCCAAAATGTCTCTGCGAAAACGKTCTCTAAAATTAGCCACTTTTAGATTTCTGGAAAATGATAATTTTAATAATTATTTAAATAAAAATCTTTCATTATAGACAATAATTGTTTACTTAGAATTATATTTTTTGTTTTTATCCATTTCAAGCTTTGTGTATAAATTTCCATCAGCAGAAAAGCAAGTACATTTTTTAAGACCATTTAGAAGTCGATTACGGTTTTTTAAATTACACTTATGTTTTCTCCACCTACAAAACACACATAAACATTGTAAATAAACACATATAGGAATAGTTKTCTTATGAAACACAATTGACTTACCTRAATCCATCACGAATACAATGCCACTTTTGTCCAGGTTTGCATGGAGTCTGGTAATCTGATCTCTGACATAATACAAATAATTCACTAGCTTTGTTACCAGCAACTACTCTCAAATCATCTTCAATACTGAAATCTTTTTTTTTTWAAMMAWWWTWAWTTTTTAAACATTTTATTTTAGTTTAAATGAAATTTACCATTGGTAATTGATGATAAAATTTTCTTGTGTTTATTATGTTCTCTTCGGCCACTRCTTTCAATTAAAAACGTATCAGGCCAGTGTGCGACAAACTTTTTATTACCCTTTTTATGTTTATGGAATAGTTTGAATGCAGAACGACCATCCATATGAGCTGGTGGATTAACACCGGCAATGTCCAAAAATGTAGGCGCCAAGTCTATGTTAAGAAATATTTCGTTTACTCTAAAATAATTAAATTATTATAGGTAATTAATACATGAATATAGGATAAGTGAATACATAGATGATACATTTAATCTACTCATGTACTTACTTTGTTCCAGGCTCAATACCCGGGCCTCTTACTAACATTGGAACACGTACATCAAACTCAAATGGAAAAGATTTACCTTTAACTAAACCAAATTGACCTAAGTGATAACCATGGTCAGAAGTATAAATAATATATGTATTCTCTAATTCGCCTAATTGCTTCAGTTCTCCATAAATCTAGAAGGTAATAAAAATAAATTATAAGAACAAAGAAATTATAACATTTTTTTATATTTTCACTTACTCTAGATACAGCATCATCTACACTTTGCAATGTCTGTAACCGTTTAGTCATTAATAAATTTGTGAATTTTTTATGAATTGGCAACATTTGTCCTGTTGCTTGTAAAATCCACTGTTTATCTGGATTAGGAGSATAGTCATACGTAGGAGTGCTGCAAATAATAAAATGTATTTAAATAAATATAAATAAGATTAAAATCTTAAGTTAAGGATTATAAGGATTACAGTAAATTTAACTACATAGTAAAATTATTTARTATGTTAAGTGCTTAATTTAATTCAAATAAGGATAAATATTTAAAAATTATATTCAAGTCTTTAAAAACACTGATTTACTTATGGACTAAATAGTGTTTGTTCAACAGGCGCAGATTCAGTAGGGGGCGGAGGGGGTGGCCGCTCCCCCCCGTAAGCTGTGTTTTGTTTAGGAAAAATTCCCTGTAAAAAGCATCAAAACTAATTTTAACACGTTGAGTGCCGCGGTCAACGGGTAGTCGACAATATTGTCAATTTGTATAGGCATCTTTATGTCAATATGGCTATATAATTTACTCGGTTATCAGAGCAATTCTTCTAAATCAATTTATCAATTGATTACAAAGTTGTATTTAACATAACTGTTTCGTGTAAGATATATTTGAACACATATACCTATGCGCGCTTGCCCACATATTATATTTTAATTTGTATGTGAAATATTCGCCCCCCCCCCTCATAAATCTCGGGCTGGATCCACCCCTGTTGTTCAATATAAACTTTAAACTGAAAGTAAAAAACTAAAAACTATACATAATGTATTCTCAGTACCCAAACAAAATGAGTTAAACAAAAATATTATATTTATAAAATTTATGATTTATACAAAAAAAAATACCAAACATTATTGTAATATTGCCTGTTTCTAATGTTTTTTTCACAATATGAATTTTATTTTTAACATATTTAATGCTACTRCAGACTATAGAATATAAATATATAAAAACTTTCAATAGTTTGTTAACTATTACTATTGTAATTATTATTATTTATTTATTGGTAGAAAAAGACGGTTCAAAATATGCCTATCAAGACATAGGATTATAGAGACAGTTAAAATAACAGGTTTAATTTAATGTTTAGCACACATGAACCGGTTTCATTCACAAAATTGTGCAGATGAATAGTGAATAGTTACCGCCCACGACTTCGCATAAATCTCAGAATGAGTTTAGACTTACTGGTGTGAGGTCACGTTAAAAAACATATCYGAGTATTCAGGTGCAGAGTCTTCGGGCCCGTGAGGTGACGGGAAACTCATCACTAGCATAAATGGACGATGAGGGTGGTGCTGTTTTGCGTGTTGTAGAAAGTTTATTGAGTCGTTGGTGACCAAATTTGGATAGTAATCCTGTAAGTGAATTATAAATTAAACGATTAATCCCATTGAACAGTAAAAAGTATAAGCAATGCTTACTTTATGATAGTCATCGCCATGTTTAATTTTTTTGCCATTTAAGTTAACTGAATAATTGTAATATTTGGAATTCATAATAAGACCTCCCCATTGAYGCCAGCCAGGAGGTACGTAGCTCCCATTATATTTGTTCAAATATTTTCCAAAATATCCTAAATATAGTACGAAATTTTAATTAATTTTCTATATCTCAARCTATTAGAATACATCGGAAAAATTACAGAATATTAAAAATCATAATTGTGTATTTGTGTTTGTGTTTGTTGGTTTCCTAAAAAAAAAACACACACACATAAGTTGAAAATACCTGTATGATATCCTGCTTCGTTGGTTAAATAAGTGGCAAATGTCCTTGACTCGTGAACACTCTGCCATACTGGACCACTGCAATTGTCATTGTTCGTAAAGACTTCGTGGTTATGTGTGTATAAACCGGTAAGCAATGAGCTTCTGGACGGGCAGCACATAGGGGTAGTGCTGTAGGCGTGTTGAAACTCAGCWCCTTCGTCTCTCAGCAGTTTTTGTGTTTTCTCCATATAGTTCAAAGATCCTATATAAATTAAAAACTTTTTAAAAATAAAATACTTGAATCGTTAATGGATCACTTTTACACATTATTGATGTATACAGTATTATGCTGCGTTTTATGTTTGAACATCAAAATGGGAATGTACCTATTTATAGATATATTAAGTAAGTTATTGATATTATATCTATTTATATTTTACAGACACAATTTAACATACGACTCATACGAGCTAAGCTATTAAATATAGAAATTACAAGTGTARGCAATATATAATATTCTTCATATAAAATGTAATGTTCGTGAAAGAGGTAAAATATATTATTATARTAAATACAAAAGTAATTACAATTTTGATTGAGTTAGAGATCTGTTAAATTCAAATGATTATTATTATTATTGTATTGTAGCATTGAATTATTGTTTTACAGTTTTATTGCATATATCGATTGTTTAACTGTTGTAATAGAACCTACGTAAAACAATTWAAAAAGTATAAAATGAGGGATATTAATAAAAATWAAATTGTTTGCACTGAGGTGAGAAATTCTTAACAATAACTCTATTTACCCTGACAGCCGATTTGTATTCACCCATCATTGTGGATGATCTAAAACAGTAGGTAACCTATASWATGAGAGGGAAGAATGCACGATTTTTATAACGACGTTGTTGATTTTATGAAATGGAATTTAAAGTAAAATTGTCWAATGAATAGAATTAATTAATTATTTTAAATATATAAGTTAAGCTACAGTTTATAGACATCACAATAAATACAACTATATTGAAAATGTATTAAATATAAAAAATTAGCAGTTAATTGCACTACAATTTTTTAATCTAAAGCCGATTTTGCACGTTTAAACGCGTAAAAAGGTAGATAAAGGAATAATAATACAATGTTATGTGAAAACAGAAAAAATTAAATAAGTATAGGTATAGGTATCTATATTTTTTTTAGAATCCATAAGAGATAGTTGWAATGAAATTAGTTTTCTATTTATTAAACGAATGATCAAAATATAACATATGTAYTCGTGTTATAATTTATAACATAAAAATTGTTGATTAGAGATAATTAAAGTACTAAAATACTACAATATTAATTATACATGGGAATATCAAGCCATTTTTTTT